AATTTTCATTTGGAAATACAAGTCAAGGAGTTTGAAATATAAAATATGGCCAATTAAAAATAGTATATAAAATTGAATATCTATTAATATACATTATGAAACTAAACTGGCATATTAGGAACACTGTATAGGATTGAGAGATGTCATATACGGGGTGAAATAAGCTTTGACTAGAAAATTAGATTAAGATTAATAAAATTAGGATGTTTAGGTGTTTTCAGTCCAGTGAGAAGCTGTGTAACATAATGATTAAAATTACAATTGAAGGAATTAAGAGAAATAAGGGTTCAAATTACTTTTTATTAAGTTGAAGTACATAGTTCCAACTTAGTTTCTGTATGTGCTAAATCAGTAAAAATAATACCTATTTCATAGGTCTTTTAGGAGCGATCAAAGTAGAAAGCTAGACACTCCAATATAGTGATTGACACATTGGTAAGTTTAATAAATGGTGCTTTTATTATTTTGCTATGAATATGCTTTCAGGTTCTGCATAAAATCTGGGGTTAATTATCATAAATAAAGACACCCTAATTCAAACTTATTCAACAAAAGTATTGTTCTCAAGCATATTGCAAGAAGAGTGGTATATAAGATGGCCATATGAAAATCCACAGTTACTCAAAATTGTCAAGTTTCAGAATTGACACTCAAGAGAAGGTGTTGAAAGCTTCATCGTGTAGGTCATTTTAAACTAGCTTTTACCACACTCAAGAAACTCTGCGGTCAGGTTCTCATCCTTTCCACCAGTTGCATAGGTCTTCCATGCACAGACCTGCTATTGACTTCTCTTTTTCCATGCACAAAGCTGCTATTCACTTCCAGGAAAGTCGGTTGCTCTGTGGAATTGGATAAGAATTTGGCCTACAATGAGTGATTTGAATGAATGAATTTGGAATTGGCAAGAAAATACAAACATATGCCACATTTGCTTGGTACATTCACGCCTCAAGAGAACTCAGGTAGCACGTAAATTCTGCATAAAAAGCCAGAGATTTTCAGCAGGAACCTATTTTAAAGTCAGCTTAAATCTTCTGCATGTACTTTTGTCATATTACAAGCACAAGGCAAAAATATTATATTTAATTACTTCTTATTGGAATGTAAAAGGCTAACGAGTCTCTTCTGATAAATTCTGTATAGCACTTACTCTTTACAAAGCTGGTGTCAGAAGACAGGACTAACAGTAATGTCATAGGCTAATTTGACATATGGATTTACTTAGGGTTTTTTTTTGGGGGGGGGGCAGGTACACTGGTGTTTAAGCCATTTTTTAACAGGCTGGATTGATACTGGACTGCTTGCAAGATAAATGTTATCCTTTGCTTTTTGTAGGCAAAATACAATCAAGGTGTATGGGTGCCTACTTGTGTACTGGCATTAAGTTGGAGGGAGTCTAAACCTTCTTCTGTTTTCAGTAGTAGACAAATTTCCTCTCTTGATATTGTTGCTCATGCAACTTTCAGTACCAGAGACATTGAACCTTTAAAAAAGGGAGAAATGTAATATTTTTGACAGCTTCTCCCTTCCACTGACTGAAACAATAAAAATAAACATGAAGCTGTCGGAATGGCCTCTGCATATAATGTCATTTGCCTGTGATTTTCTTTGCTTCTCTAGATAATTGAATTTATTCAGGCAATTTATTTTTTAAATGTGTGGCCTCTGTGAATGGAAACATCTTAACTAACGACAACCGTTTTATTTCCTCTTAATTAAATATATACGTGTGTGTGTGCTTCTGTTAGGACCAAAGGAGTAGAAGAAAAATAATGGGGATACCAAAAATGTACTGTAAAAAATATTAATTAAAGAGATGATCAGCTATTGTGACTTTGTGTTCACCCCCTGTCTATGTTCAAAGTCTATAGGTGCTCAATAGGAGCTTTGAAATTATTTTTCCCTGAGTGACATTGCTAAGTATAATAAATGGATACAGCAAAGGACTTTATAAAGAAGCCTGTGTGTGTGTGTGTGTGTGTGTGTGTGTGTGTGTGTGTTATCTCAGAGTTGGTGAGCATAGCACTACGTGGTTGGTTCCCATCCTGAGACTCACTCTTAATAAATGACTGGCTTACAGATAATGACTATTTAATTTAAGCTCCATTAGTCAAAACATGTAGCTGTATAACACAAATAAAGCTTATATTCTCATGGTGTGGGGAATATAAACAATTCATGCCTTTATTTTGGATTGGCATTTTTGTGGGTTATTGAGCACCCAAATGGAATCACTTTGAGATATCAGAAATATCCAGGGACATTCAGAAGTCATGAATTAAAGTAGAATGGTAGAAGGGAATACATATGCCCCAAATCCAAAATTATTTATTTGTTTCCTCTCTATACTCAATATATTCCATAGAATTTAGAATGATAAATACCATTTCACCCTTGACAGAATGATTTTTTTAATGGAGCAAAACCATCTCCTCTTATTTACACCTGTGATCACAACTCAATAAAGCATTCATGGCAGAAGGTTTCTGCAGGACTTTTTTGGTGTTGATAAATTTCATTTTTGTTTTACCCTCATTCTAACATCTGTATGATAAGAATTTTAGAGGTTAAACATACAGCACTCTGAGAGCTAACTCATTGTAAGTAAGGGAAAATGTGTCCGTTTCTAATTTCTCCTTTATTTATACAATGCTATTTTTTAATATACTTTGGACTTGCTTCCTAGAATAACAAAAATCTTTTATTTTAACATTTTTATTCTAGGGTTGTGTTTTTTTGTTTTGTTTTGTTTTGTTTTTTTTCTCTCTGCTTTTCAGATTGTTTAAGTGTCCATTATTATTCCCATATATACATTTTTCTTTCTAAAACATCTTTCATCTTTCAAAATCAATTATAAATAATGATAAACTCTGAAAATTGTACATGGTAAACCCAAGTCACTAAAGAGATGGTGTGCACACTTATAACTTCCATTTTTAAACGTAACTGAAGAGAGCTTGGCCATTTGCTCATTTCCCTGGTTGGACACTTTATGAGAGCTCACTAACTAAAATGGATTAACCTTTCACTAGAAATTAGTGGTTTATAAATAATAATTTAATTCCTTTATTTATTTATTAGCATCTGAATTTTGAGGTATGCCTACATTTGGCTGTTCTGCATACAAAATTAAAGATTTTTAAGCAATATAATAAACATGTCATTTGAATACTGAGGCAGATTATAAAACACCTATTATTTACAATGCTAGGGTCAGAAATTAGGACTAAAAAAATCAAATTTAGATGAATGTAGTTATGTGGGTTTTATTATTTTTTAGTATACTGATTCTATTTTCACAATCATCTCTGTTTGCTAACCATTCTGTTTTTGTCAATACCATAATCATTATTTCAATCTCCGAAGGAAGAAGTATGTTTATCTTTGTCTCCTTCTTCCTTATTTCTAAATTATCTAATCCTATCATTAGTTGTTTCCAATTTTCTTTAAAATTTCTAACAGCTACAATCTAGTTAACCTAGTGGAATTCTTTTTATCATCACATGTGTGGCCTGGTAACAGTTTCCTATACAGTGGAATCTTTACTTTCTCTTCTACCCAACTTATTCTCCTTATCACTATTAGACCAATATTCCTAACAACCCAGTTTAAGAGAATCAAACAGTATAGAAACTAGAAGAATTACCCATGGCCTTTCAGGTCAAATATATACAATTCTATTAATATTTGACTTTCAGGACCTTTCATAAAAATGAGCCTCCTATGATAGTCATTCTTCTTATTTATTATTCTCCATTTATTTGGGTCAATCCTCTACATTCTCTTGTGTGTGTGTGTGTGTGTGTGTGTGTGTGTACTCTATAAAATAATCTTGATGATTTCTCTAGGGAAGAATGCTCTATATCTTTTCTTCTCTATTTCTTTAGGCTTAAATTAAAAAAGTTTCTATACTTAAATATTTAATAAATTCAGTAATTGACTCAATATATATTATGTACTAATAATAGGATTTAGGGTACATGACCAATAATCTGACATGATTCCTGTCTTCATGATGTAGAAAGAAAATTAAATGGGCAATCCTAAACAGTGTGCTAAATGTTATGATAAAAAGTTGCCATCTTCCTTTTAGTTCCAATGTTCTTTCTACTTGAAATTTCTTCTGCAGGTATAATTTGCTACCATACAATTAAGTATTTGTTATAGTTGTTATCATTACTCATTTTTCTTGTGTTTTTACATGCCTCTCAAATTTAATTTCAAACTCTTTGAGGAAAAAGAATCAGTTTTATGTTTCTATACCTTTGACATCTCTCTTAGCAAATTAATTAGTTGAAGGAAGCAGTATAACTTAATAATGACCAACATGGATATTAAAGGTAGATGATTTGGGGTTCAGTTCCCTAATTGACAATTTCCTACTACTACTTGAGTAAGTTACTCTTAGGAGCTTAATTCCCTCATCTGTTATATGGGAATAATAGTCTTTATAGAATGTCTCTGAGAATTATAAAAAATTATGTATATAAAACTTTTAGAGCAGTGCCTTTCAGAACTCCAAGATTGGTAGTTATATTTTTTACTGAAATAGTGACTTTACACAGATTTTGTGTATTTGGACAGGGAAATTCCTAATATTTTAGTAATATTAAAAAAAAAAGTCTTCAGAACTCTAAGACTAAAATAAAATTTATATATAGCATTACTCATACAAACCATGTGAAAATAATATTTGCAGAGAATACAATATTTTACCTATAAGACTGCCATGTTTCTGATTATGTGTGCTACAAAATGGTCCTTATATGCCTGCTAAAGTAGGCTCAGAAAATTATGATTTATACCATGAATAAATAGTTTGGCTAGTTGGGAAATTTTATGAGTGTATGCACTGCTTAACATCTAATCATTATTTTTGGAATGAGAACTGAAGCTTGTGCTTCTTATATTTCAAATCATTGCTTAATGTCAATTCCCTCTCAAAGAGAAAGGGCCACTTTTGCGATCAGCATGGTGCTCTATTGAAAGTTTTAATTAGTATACTTACATAGCAGAGGAGATACCATGGTCAGGAAGGTGGCTTTCCCAGGGCACAGCTTATCCTCTGGATATGCTAAACACTGTGATTTCCCCAAATGTGGGAAACTACACTGCATGTTTGTGGTAGTGGGGGACTGCATTAGTGCTCTACCCTTAAATAAATTAATAATAATAATAATAATAATAATAATAATAACGTTTTAGTTAATGTATAAAAATATGCCTTTATAATTGTTTTTTTTTAAATATAATGCAACATTTTATTTAATTATTTAATTTTAACCCTAACTCAAAGGTATTTTTCCATTGAATTTTAGTGAGCGTGAAAGAGAGAGGGAAAGATAAAGAGAAATATTGATGTTAGAGAAACACATATTTGGTTGTCTCCTGCAAGCACCCCAACCAGGGCCTGGACTGGGGAGCAGTTTGCAACCAAGGTTTATGCCCTTGACCAGAATGGAACCTGGGACCCTCTGGTCCTCAGGTTGAGGCTCAATCCACTGAGCCAAACTGCCCAGGGCTAATAGGAAAATTGGATTAGTATAATGACATAGCGGAGTTGATGGGCATCAGCCTGATCTAGTTTGGAGACAACATGATACACAAGGTGCTCCTAGAGCATAGAGAAGGGAAGCTAGCAAAACTTAATCTAGCCCGCCTCATATTACTGTTGCTGTTGTTTTGTATTTATAGCCTAAAGCACATGTGTCAAACACAAGGCCCCCAGGCCAAATCCGTCCCGACAGGCCTTGCAATGTGGCCCGCACCGCGCTGTCATCACTGCCCTCCGCTGCGTTTCCATCACAGTGACAGTTTATGACTGTTCAGTAAACCATTCGGCCCGCGATTTAGGCTGGATTTTAGATTTTGGCCCCTTCTCTCATTTAGTTCGATACCCCTAGCCTAAAGGAACCTAAGGATTTGTTTGCAAAAGAACCTAGTGGTGCTAATTTCTCATGAATAAACAAAAATATTGAAATATCTATCTCACAAGAAGAAGGAGAAATATGAAAGTGGATAGATGGCATATTAAATAATTGGTGTCATGTATTTATGAAAAATAATTTATTACTCTATTTTTTAAAACTGACTTTAAAAAGTTTTGATTCATAATGAAGAGTAATTTAACACTCTTTCTTTGATCATTTCCCTGAGTTATTACTTTGTAGAGAACCATGAAACTGTGAAATTTAAAAATCAAGTATGCAATAGAGATAAAAGCACATTAATGGTCACATGACATTGTGTGGACTACATTATGTTTTTTAAAGTTTGTATTCGGTTATCTTTAAAAATAGGTCACCTTAAAATATTTAACTTGTTCTTTAAAATATTGATTCCATGGAGGCAGTTTGATTTCAGCAGAAAGAACTATGAAACTAATCATGTTTGCATTTTCTCTTTTTTGTGGAATGGTGCGGGGAGGGGTTTGTCTCTTCGCCCTTTTCAGGTAAAGGGCCTGGCTTTTCTTTATTTGTGTGTGTGTGTGTGTGTGTGTGTGTGTGTGTGTGTGTGTATATATATATACACACACACACACACACACACAAATGTATATATATATATACATTTTTGCTTGTCATTCTATCCTAATATTATGCCTGGAGCATACTTACTTCTTTAAATATTTATATAGCTCTCTTGTCATTTCTCAGTTATAGTTTTATGAGTTTTATCATTTGTAAAACAAATATTAACTAATGAAATCCCCAAACACATACAACTCATTATTTTGTAACACAATCCACTAACAACCCAATGAGGTAGATAATAGTATTATGCCCTCTTTATAGATGAAGAAACTGAGACAAAGAAAGATTGAATGGCTTGCCCAAGGTAACACAACTAGTGAATATGGAACCAGGATTTGAAACAAAGCTATTTGGCCTTAGGTTCTCCGTGTTAAACTGAGAACATGTTTATGCTGCCTCACAAGTTAGCGCTCCAGACATTTTTATTACATGAATGAAAGAGAAAATTGAGCAAATCAAATACTTCTCATAGTTTAGTAATTATTTTATCACTATTATATCCTAAGATCATTGACACTATATAATAGCACATATGGATTACTTATAATTTATGATCCTATTTTATAGATGAGGAAACTGAAGTTTGGTGAGTATAGATAACTTGTCCAAGTTATATGTTAATAAAAGGATTGAACTCAACAAACTCCTGCTTCCAACTTACTTAATCACTGCTTTGTATTGCTTTGCTGACATGTTTACTGCATGGGAGTTATAATTTATTTCACTTATCATGGAACATTTAGTTAATTCTTAATTATAAGTCATGTTAGCAAGCAGTTAGCTTTTTAGCTTTACTGATTGTCTATTCTGTATAAGAAATGGGATCATTGCTCTGTGGGATAAAAAGAAGTCATTACCCAAACAGATCACAATATGAGAAATTCCTCAAGTTTTTCTTGTCTTCCTTTTCACTCTGAGTTAGTATTTAGTCAAGTTTATTGACAGCCACAGTAAGAATATTCTGGAGGCTTCTTAGGAAAATGATAAATGAATTATTATATGTAATTAGTTAGAATAAATACTTAACTTTATTTCTTAAATATTATTATGCAATCCATAGTGTTAGTGGTAAATGGAAGTGTCTTGATGTATAATCTCATTTTTGTTTAGAAACATCTTATGGTTGACATTTGAGTTCTTGGGAAAGAGATCATGAATTGCCTTAAAGTGTATTTGCTTGACTTAAAAATCACATCATTGGCAGAAAGATAATGAGGCTGTCCCAGCACAAACTGTTATTTTTGTTTTACAGGTTCTATTGGTTAATGTGTTAGAATTCCCTAAATGCTATTTTTGCTTATTAAGTGGTTTGGAGAGCACATGAAAACCTACATTTTATTCTTGAATGTAGCATTTCTGAGTAAATGTGATTCTGATAAAACAACCATTAGACTCCTCTATCCATGTAACATCCAAAACTGTTCTTCCTATTTGTAGAATCCCTTACTGAATGAGAAAACTTGTTTTTAATTTTTGTTTCACTCACTGGAATTAAATTAGGTGGCAAATATTATATTGATTCAAAAAGGCAATGGAAATGTGCTATTGTTTATATTAACCTTATAAATGAGATTAAACTATTAATAAACAAACCAACTTCTTAATACATTTCTGAAAGCAATCTCTGTCCACCATGCAATTTTGCCATAAATCTCAGATGCACAAATCTATAGAGTTGGTAAGAAAACCAGTAAACACAAACCTATTTCCACATGTGCCAACATGCATGTTAAAAAAATTAAGACCATCTAATTTTAATACCAGCATTGGTCGCTTTTCCTGCATGTACTGTAATTCTTCTCCCTCTCTCCGATCCTCCACTTCTTCTTCTTCCTGGAATATATTATCTTTTAGTTCTCTTCTCAAAATCAATGAACTCCCATCATTTTTATGACACTTTTCTGCACCACTGAAGCTCTTAGTCATCTCCCTCTTTTTCTCCTATAACTCTTTCAGTTTTTCCTATACCTAGTTCTCAATCTTTATCATTGTATCAGTCTCCCCCTGGAAGGCATGTTACTTTCCAGTCTCGGGCCCTATGCTCTGACTTTCTTATTCAGTAAGCCTGGGGTGAGGTCTGAGAAAACTGTATAAAGTTTTCTCAGGTAATGGCAATGATACTGCTTGGAAGACCATCATTTGAAAATCATACCTTTACAAATCACCTTTCTTTTTATTGTCGTTGAGTGTCATGTGAATGCATTTGAAAAAAGAATGCACATTTAGATGTTCACTTAATTTTCTGATCAATAATTAAATATGACCTGAGTTAACATTTCATCTCAGTGATTAGAAAAAAAAACCCCGAACAACCAGCCAAAAAAATCCTGCAAACCAAGTTATATGTTTGCTAAATTTTCATCCTATTGCGTAGCAAAGGAATCTTTGAAAGATTCTGTATTTTTAGGCTTTGAAGAAACATCACTTATCACTTTTTCTATTTTCACTTTTCAAAATCCAGTTTAAAATGTTTAAAATATGGATTAAGTCCTGTATTTGAAATATAATGGAGCCAATTTTATAAAACAACTAGACGCCCAGTGCACAGAATTCATACACCGGGGGAGGGAGTGGGGTCCCTCAGCCCGGCCTGCATCCTCTCCAATCTGGGACTCCTTCAGGAGATATCTGACTGCCTCTCACAATCCCGAACTGTTGGCTCCTAACCACTCACCTGCCTACCTGCCTGATCAACCCTAACCCCTCTGCCTGCCTGCCTGCCTGCCTGATCACCTCTAACCACCACTGCCTGCCTGATCCCCCCTTAACTTCTCTCCTTCTGGTCTGAATACCCCTAACTGCTCCCCTGATGGCCTAAACCACATGTGTCAAACACAAGGCCCGCGGGCCAAATCCGTCCCGCCAGGCCTTGCAATGTGGCCCGCACCGCGCTGTCATCACTGCACTCCGCTGCGTTTCCATCACAATGACAATTTATGACTGTTCAGTAAACCATTCTGCCCGCGATTTAGGCTGGATTTTAGATTTTGGCCCCTTCTCTGATTGAGTTCAACACCCCTGGCCTAAACACCCCTAACCACCTCTACCTTGACCCACACCTGGGACTCAAAATTCCCTCCCCTGGCCAGTCACAGGAACCCAGGACCTGGGCCGGCTTCACCCAGGTGCACCGGAGCCACAGGGGACCATGGGTGGGTGGCTTTGTCCGGGCCACAGCCTCAGGCTATGATGTCCAGGACTGCAGGGCAAGCACTTGTCCCTCTCCTGGGCCCCAGCCCCAGCCGCTGGAGCTGGGGATCACAGGGTCCATGGGGCATGCAGATTGTCCCTCTCTCAGGCTGCAGGTGCAGGTACAGTCACTGGCACCCAGGACCAAGGGGCAGGTGGCTTGTCCCTCTCCTGGGCCACAGCCTGGCTGGTTCCCATTCCTTTCTCCCAGTGTTGAGTGTCTGAGCAGTTATGGCGTGATGGCGTGAGGGTGTGATGACATGAGGGTGTAACAGCCATTTGCATATTAGCTATTTATTATATAGGATCATATTTTACCTAATCTTGATAAAGCCTGTCACCTTAGGATATTGGATCTGCCCCAAGAGAAGGTTGTGTCTGCATGACAGAGGCAGATGGATTGTTAATATTCTTACATTATTCTTTAAAAGTAA